AAATTTTGTTTGTAGGAAATCTTCAAGGTAATCTCTATTTTTGTATCTAAATGATTTATGCTCAAGCAATGTATGTTTTATGGTTAATAAAAATGAAGATAGTTGGCTATGACATAGAAAACTTGGACATACAAGCATGCAAACAATTTCAAAATTATCTTTTTTAAATCTAGTATAATGATTACTAAAGGCAAACATAGGAGAAGTTTATTTAAATCCAAGAATAATGTTACAACTTCTATACCATTACAACTACTTCACTTGTATCTTTTTGGACCAATTAGAACCATTAGTTTAGAAGGAAAATCATATGACTTCGTGATTATAAATGATTATACTACATACATTTGGGTACCATTTTTAGAAACAAAAGATGAAGCTTTAAATGCTTTTACTAATTTTTGTAAGAAGGTTGAAAATAAGAAAGAATATATAATAACTAATATTGCAAGTGATCATGGAAAAGAATTTGAAAATGTAGGCTTTGAGGAATTATGCAATGAGAAAGGATATAGTCATAATTTTTCAACTCCTAGAACTCCACAATAAGATGGAGTAGTAGAGAGAAGAAATAGAACACTAGAAAAAATGGATAGAACTATGTTGTGTGAAAACAACTTACCTAGATATTTATAGGTTGAAGCAATTAACATATCATGCTACATTATAAATAGGGTAATGATTAGGCTAATACTAGAGAAAACACCTTATGAGCTATACAAAAGTAAAAAGCCCAACATTACATATTTTCATCTATTTGGTCACAAATGCTTTGTTCTAAACAATAGAAAAGAGAGTTTAGAAAAAATTGATGTTGAAAGTGATGACGAAATCGTTCTAGGATACTCTTTAACTTCCAAAACATATAGAGTTTTCAATAAATAAAAATTAGTTGTTGAAGAGTCAGTTCATGTATTATTTGATAATTTTAATCCACCTTTTAGAAAAGGATATGTTGATGATGATATAGGAATCTTTTAAGAGCAAATTGAAAAAATAATAGAAAATACTTAATTACTCCTAAATAACACAAAAGTATCTTTGACTTTTCAAAGGGTAAAGAAATCAAGCTTCCTTGGGAAACCTTATATTTTTCTTTTTTTTTTCTTCAAAGTTGGCCACTTAAGTTTTCCCTTAGAAAGTTCTTTTTCCCATATCCTAGTAAGTTCTTTTTTTTTTTCTTCCCATATCCAATTTTCTTCTTCATTTCTTTACTTTTTTCTATGAAAAAGACCTTAAACTTCAAACCTCTAATTTTAAGGCTAAATCAAGGTAAGGATTTTCATATTCTAGCTCCTTATTCAGGGGTTTCAATTCCAAATATTTTCTCTAATTTTCAAATTCTAGTCTTTTTCAAGGTTTGATTTTTTAGTTGGTTTCTAGCCCTAAGATTAGCTTGTTGTGGTTTTCGCCAATTTTCACACCTCTAAGCTCACCAAGGCAAGAATATCTTAAATTTAAGTAGTCAGTTTAATGAGTTTGTGAATTAGATCAGGATTCTAGATTAAATGTTAGATTATGATATAATTTAGCTATTGTATAACTATTAGAATTATAAATTCTGAATTGTTAAGATATATTTGTTATTGTTATTTATTGGCAATTATATATTCAATTGGTAATACAAGACTCAACTTGGATTGAGGTCTTAGGGGTGTTGGATTAATAGTTGGAGTTATGATTTAAAAATGTTGATTTAGAGTTGATTTTATGTGTTAAATTGTTTAGGCTCTCTTGAAGCTCCAAGGTTCAAGTTAGAGGAAATAAGATAATTGGTATTCGCTTTGGCAAGGTAGCATAAAAGGTGAGGGATAAGTAGTTAAATTGTTTTTGATACATGTAACGTTTTTATTATGTTATGATCAATGCTATAAAAAATGTGCATAGGAAACAAGCCTTTTGTATTGTAAGTTTTGCCTTCAACTGTGTTTATATTAGAAGTATTATTAACTTGTTAGAGAGCTATTAAATGTTGATAGCATATATGGCGCTATAAGTAGTTTGCTTTATGAAATATTATGTGTGGTATAAATGTACTTTTTTTGTTCATGTTGGATATGGAATTTTGTGGGAAAATGTTTTTAATGTGGAACACTTAAGTAAAGACTTGGGATAACATCAGTTCTGCTAACTATTGTACAGAATAGGACCACCTTGGCTAGCAAGGGAAAGTGGAGTAAATGGTGCTAGCCTTGTGACCGGTGGATGGTACAAGCGATATTGAAATTAGTAGGTCGGAGTGCACTGGCTACATGGGTTGGCCACCCATCATGTGTGATATGTTTGTTTTTTGTGCTTTTTAAGTTGCTTCACTAGTGTATTAAATTTTAATCATGATGCTTGGACGATTTGATTTATATTTTTATAAGTTTTTATTACTTTAACGTTGTCTGAATAAGTTGGAAACTGGAATATTTATTGAGTTGTGTGATTAGACCAAGTGTGGTAAAGTTTTGAAATGAGAAAAACACTAAAACATACAAATTTTGAATGAAGTCCCAATACTTGTTTTTTAGTGTATTGATACTTATCCCTTGTTTTTAATAAAAAATAATTCTTTTTCATGCGATTAGAGACGTAAAGAGCTTGCTTTTCCGTAACATGATTATATCAATGTTTAATAAATAAAATATGATGGATTTTGAGTACGTGCATTCATAATTTTATATTTTTAAATAAAATTGCATGGTTTCAAACTAATGGCATAGTTTATTAAATACTCTTCTGTTAATGTTCGTTTCTTTTCTTATCCCTTATTGAGTATTATGTACTCACACTTCTTCAAATTTTCATGTTTTTGTTTTCAGATTCCAAGTTAGATAGAGCTTAGCATTGAGATGGACCCTTTTTCGACAACCTTGGTAGGAATTTAAAGGTATTTGTTAGCTGCATTAGTACCATACAAATGGGCTCCGTTGTCTTGCTCCATGTTATTAGTTGCAATGTCCTCTTTTGTTGTTCATAGACAAGCGCACCAGTTTGTTCAAATGTTATGAAAGGTTATATCGATTGGGCTTTTGCGTTGGTCACGGTCCGGTAATAGGGCGTGACACTTAAACACATACATGGATATATTTAATAAACATGCAACATGACTAACACGTTTATTAAATGTATTGAGTTAAATTTTACACAACACGACATCATTAAAACGATTAAAATTTATACAAGTTATAACTTGTCTACACGATTAACTTGATTGATACGGTTAATACACGATTAATATGCTTAAAACAATTAAATTAAATTATGTACAAGTAAAATATAATTCTATTTTTCAACTTTACAACAAAAATTATTAATATCATAATATTTATTAAATATCATAAAATTCAATATCAATAAATCTTAATTATTATAAAAATATTAATATATAAATAAGTCATAAGTTATACGGAAACATAATAACATGATTATCTAATTGTGTCTCGACACACAATTCCAAATTATATAAATAATATATCATAGATTACTTATCATACAAGAATTCTATTTATACAAAAATCATACATGAAAATTCATTGAGGATAGAGAGAAAAATTAATCAAAGTTTCAAGTCAAACCACTAGTGTTTTTTTATTCTCCTTGTTTAGTCATTACATAATGCTCAAAATTTCCATATTTTGTTAGGTATTATGTGCATCATATCATGAAAAAATAATACTCTGAAACATGCCTTTTTGTAATTGTCATTAACATTTCATAAGAGCTTCAAAAACGAGATAATCATGAAACAAGGGCATAATTAAGGATTTTAAGCATGCTAATCACGTTTTCCGAAGATCAAAACAACATGAAAATTCCTGAATTAGCTATGATATCAGTGTAGGAAAAATATATAGATTAAAAAAATTACAGAATAATTTTACTAATGCTGAGTGACTCTAAGATCCTGATTGTGGATGTTATTATTGGTTCCCAAAAACCCATGGTGATACTACAATCGAGCAGTAACCATCCATTTGACAATACAAAAACCTTAAGTCTCACAAATGAGAGAGTGGCTTTTCTATAGAAAGAAAGAGAGTTTGGTTTTCACCTTGGTTTTTTGACTAACAGTATTCGTGACTTGGGAAAAGACCTCATGCTTATTTATAGACCTTTTTATTAGGTAGTCTGTTAATTTTAAGAAACTAAATAATGATCATATAATACTTAATTCAACATGATAAAAGCATAAACCATAGCCAAATAAGGGAATGATCATAGGTGATTACCTTTGGAGCCTCACTCTGAGTCTAGAATCATAAAACCAACAAATCTCATACATGGTCATAGCCCGTTTCCAACTTCCTGATCTGGAAAAATGAAATTACAATATCATCCAATTTCACTTGCCACATTTGTTTCTAGCATTAAGCATTTTAACTTGGTATAAAATGTGGTCTCTGATTACATGATAGGGTGATGAAGTGTGTTGACAGTTGGTGAGTCTCGATCTTTTACGTTACAAGTTCTGCTGGTTTAATAGTATGATTCGATCTCCCTCCTACTCCTTCCTATTTCCAGCAACTCGAAGACTTAATGAGAATTTTAGAATGCAACTTTCATTTTCCTTTTCTTCTTCTACTCTGTTAAAACTAGAAATATCAAAAGAAACTTTTCTATTTTCAGAACAATTGTAAATAACCAATTTAATTCCTTCATTAAGTATGAAAATGATCCGTCATTAATATAATTCGGTGGTTGGTCATGCCAATATTAAATTATTAAGTTGATCAGCCTATACCAAGTTTTGTATTGAACGCTTTCCTAAACCGAGCCAATTGGTGTAAACTTCATCAAATCAGTCATTTCCTTAAGTGTAGACACTGCCATTTTGCTGTCTCCATCAGATGAAATCAGGTTATAATTTTGAGTCATCTTCAAGACCATCTCTAGAGAATTGCGAGCAAACAAGTCAGGCACCACCCATACATTGATACAAACATAGACCAATAATAATAATAATAATTTAGTTATGACTCTTGGAGGCCCAGTAGGGGCCTTACCTTGTTTGGGTGGATGCTCTCTACCATATTCACCTCATCTCTGTTTCAACTACTTTTAACGGTTCATTTCCATATGCAACATCTAAAATGTCTTCTCTTTCCTTCACAAAATCAACACTGACAAGAGGCAAAGATGAAGTTTATGTGGCAGCAGTGCCACTAAGAGCTACAAAGGGAGTAGCCCAGCTTTTCATGTCTACCGCGTACTCCCTCAATCTCTGGGACTTGCAGCACTTCATGGTCATCGTCAAACCCTCTTCTTCTCCTCACGCTTCACAGGTTCCTTCCTCCTCATTATCCCCATACTAGTTTTATTGCGTCTCTGTTTTTTTTTTTTTTCTCTTTTGTTGGCCTTTACTGTTGTGTTAGTAGGAGCTAGCTTTGTCTGAAAAACCAATCTGAAGTCGGCACTATGTAATGGCATCCTTCTTGCTCTGATAAGATTTCATTTTCTGGTAGTTGGGTCAAATCCTCTTGCAAATTGTTTTTAACAACTCCCTAAATGATTGCGGTGGCAAGCTACAAGTTTAGGCAAAATTATCTTCTACTAGAATTTGACAGAGTTCTGCTGTAATTTAGTAGTGGTAGTTCTTATAGTTTTCCTATGGGTAAATGAATATTCTAGGTTGAGCAGCTGCAAGAAGTGCAGCCCTTACCGCTTGCAGTCATCTCTTTCCATTCTGATCCATCTTAGAGCCAAAACTGGCTTAATAGTCAGCTACACGGAATGGTCCTAGAAACGTAAATGCCTCTCAAATAGTCAAATTCAAGCATTTACTTGACTTTTTAATCAAGAGCATATGAGAATTCTGATCTCATTATCTATTGCCACACCAACTCCTGTTCTGATCACTTTCAATTCCGGTAATGTTATCTTGAATTTTATTTTCAAGTATCCTGGTGGCATAGGATTTAGTTTAACTATCATCTTGGAGACGCATTTTTGTTTGTGGACACTTAGGATTTAGGATGTATGATGATTTTAGGTTACATTCTCTTGTATCTTTGATATATTTGGTTAACATTGAAGGGCTTTTCAGTCTCCTTTCACTGATGCAGTCTGAAAATTATATGCAGGCCTTCGTTTTTGATTTTCAACCTGAAGATCCAGAAAACATATACACAGCACTTGCAGCTCTATCTGGTAGAGCAGTACCAGGTGAGCACTGTCAAACATTATTTTTCACAACTTAAATGATCTTTAAGGAAATTTTCAACCCTGACTATCTATGGACAACCTGGCTTATAAATTTACCAATGTATCAGATTTGAAAGTTCAGCAGCCGTCCAAGGTATGTCAGTTATATCTCATCTTTTTCATATTGCTTGCCTGCTTGGTTCAAGGAGACCTCAAAATCAGAAATCTCCCATTGGTTTCTGAAGAATGTTTTGTTCGGTATTAACTGTGATCTTCATTCTGTTTTGCCTTGTTTCTGTGGTTCAAGATTATTTGTTTAGTTGCATGCAGATTGTCATCACTCTTCATGTAACTTGAAACGAATGTATGAGTCTGATTCTCAATAATGGAAGAGGGATGTAGGATTTATTTTTTGGTAAGTCAATTCTGTGTTACCCATAAGAAGCAGTGAAAATTGCTACAAATGCAACAAGCTGTCAAGATGGCAACAAATACATGCAGCAAGCTGCCAGGACAACAATACAGAAACTAATTGAAAATGGAGCTATTTAGTCCCCGTGCAGTTCATATCCCTATCAACAGAATTATAAGCAATATTCTTTAAACCATAAAGCCTCAACTGAAGAGCATCTACAATATTGCAATAAATCTGTGAACTGGTCCTTGCAATGTGTCCATAAAATCTGTTGTTTCTTTCTTTCTAAATATGACAAACATAAGTAGTCCAGGCTATATGCAGGATGACAAATATGAGTGCTTTCCCTTTGAGTCTTTTAACCACCCAATGCAGCTCTTCCTTCCTGCCAGAAAGCTCTCTGCAAATATTACAAGCTTGCAGGTGTGTTTTAGATAATCACATGCCAAACACAAGTGATATTTTGTCTCCAGCTCATGTTGGAACAACAAACAAACCCACTAATGGAAATTTCCCATGGAAGCAGTCTGTCTTTAGTAGGAAGTCTGTCAATTGCAGCCATCCAAGCAATCAAAGCAAGCCTGGGAATGTGAAATTGAAACCAAACAAGCCTATGCCACTCAATCTTCACCTGTTTGTGCCTGATCTCATTCCATTCATAGCAGCAGAGTAATCAAATCCAGGAACCTCGGCATTGTTTTTTTTTTTCGCTCAGCAAACCTTCCATATCTCTCCCTCATTGTGCTGCTGAATAAACCTAGAGGCAACCCGTCTGAGTTGAAGCAGCTTTTTCCAACTCCAGCTGCATCCTTGAGAAATTGGGATCTGCCATAAATTCTGCCTTTGAGCACATAAGCCTCAATCCAAGCAATCTACAAGGAGTTTGATTGAGTGAAGACAGACCAGAGATTTTAAACTGATTAATGAATCCAAGCAATCCATTTTTCTGAAATAGGGATATAAGATTATAGATTGATTATTGAACTGAATTTTCTTTCTAATTGAGTTGCTTATGTTAGATTTTCCTCTATAGTTAGGTTCTGTATATAGCTGGCATGCTTTTTCTAATGGGTTTTGAGCATAGTAAGACCTTATATTTCTGCTAGTTACACTTGTTGCATTTTGAGAATATTTTATAATTTGGGTTACAACATTTGATGGAATATCCATAAACTGCCAACATTTAGGGACAGATGTGTGAGCATATATTGCGAAGAAACAAATCAAATACAGCTTAAACAAAACAGAGAATGAAGAAGCAGGAACATAGCTGTTCTCCTTGATAAAGTCTGCAGAGAAAATTAAAGAGAGAACAAGAAGAAAAGATGCAGAAAACTTCTCACATTTCATTCATCTGCAAAAGCATACATATATACCAGTCATTTGCTTACAAAATAAATACATATATCTCAGCAGTAAGTCATCACTTCTGCTGGTAGTCTGGCGTAGCAGTATATCAAGCTAACCTACTGCCACTAACTGTTGCATTGACCACTTAAACAAAACTTGCTTAGTTTTCTGCCACTATTTTGTAGAAACTAAAGGCATCAACCAGAGTTGGATTTCAACTAGAGGAGTTAAATCTTTAAAAACAATCTCAATTCTAACATACATAAACCCACAAAAAGCAAATTTTCCAATTTGTGTTGCTGAAAACGTTGATCATGGTTTAGTTTAAAGTTTGGCATTGCTTTGTTGTTGATGACATCAGTACTTTTTTCCTTCATAATATGTCCTACAATAACACTTTCAATAGGTGTTGTTCTTGCAAGGAAGTTAACAAAACTGCCTAGGAGAAAATGTTGGTTTGTTGGATATTCCAATGAGGATGCTGTAGCTAAAGCCTACAAGTTCAACAACACATGGGGAGCTGATTTGAGAGTGGGGCTTCATGACTGTCGAGATTATACTAATGGTAGTAATCTGAATATAATTGTTCTTTCTTCTTTTTAATGTTTACTTTAACTAAATGACCTAGGTGTTAAGGTATTAATGTTAATTTTGTTGATATTTTCCAATTTGATTATTTGGGCTCTTAATTTAGTTTCTCTGAAATGGAAGGATTGGTTGAACACCTCACTGGTGAAAAACTCGTGCTGGAGCACCTGAGAAGGACCACGGATGGTCAGAGTTAAATCATCATTTCTGTACACTGCTTGATCTCCATTGTCTGCAAATATAAGTACAGTAGCAGTTTCAATTTTGGTCTTGAAGGACCATTTGCTGATACCTTAGTTATTATAAATTTCTTAGAGTCCAGATTCTGGAAGTCTCAGGTTAAGTATGGTTTATGTTGCCTGTATAGTAAAGGTTCTCTCACAAGGAAATATATTTATTTCTCTATTTACACTATATTTTCTGTTTATTTGGTTTCTTGACCTCCCAACTGCCACCTTGAATGCAACATGCCAAATCCATATTTTTTAAGTTTATGAATTTTGTATGTTGTTCATAGATCATCATCACTTAATTTCTCTCCACATAATTGGCATTACATTCTTTTTTTTTTTCTTTTTGGATTGAAAGAAGGAGGATTCAAACCCCATTCTTTTTTTTTGAGCAAGGGATACATTTATCATTGAGCTAAATTTTCAGATATAATATTGAATTCCTCTTTGGTTGGAAGTGGTGAATTTTTATTGCCTAACCACTTTAACCATATATATTTCAACTTGAATCTTGATATTCTAACTTGTGTCAAAATTGGAATGTATGAAGAACTACTTAACATGCACTGCTGTGCAATTAGGAAGTTTAAAGCAAGTTGGATTTTGTTAGCAGCTATTAGGGGGCTTGAAAAAGCACTTGGTTGTAGGTACAAGATATCAAGGTGTATATAGTATAGTATTTATAAAATTCTAACCTAAAATTTTAAGTATTAAATAAAATTATTTTATTAAAATATTGTTTATAACCCAAAATTGTCAATAGATTGTAATGTAAGGGATGATATTGTAATTTTCTTTTCTTATCAGGGATTAGTTGCAATGTGTTGATAAATATTATTTCAATTAGCTGGTAAATAAATTTTTTAATCAATTTAAAAAGCTAAAATAATAAAATTATATTAAAAAAATTTCAAATAAGATGATATGGACTTGAATCTACAACCATTAAAAAAAAAAAAAAATCTTTAACGACCTCCAACATATGCTTCTTTTAAGCTTTCTCTGTTGTGTTAGAATATGAATCGGGTCAAGTGGACACAAATCTTTGAGTACATCCGCATAGGCATAATTTAACTCCTACTAAGAATTGAATTAGATTTCTATTCCTAATAAGATTTACATATGTCCTATATAAATAGACAAGAGGTGCTACCTAATTATCAAAATTATTTAGTAACAAGTTTCTAACACCTTTCAAAAGTAAAAAAACCCAGAAATCTTTTGAAAACAAGGAAATTGCATCATTTTTGATGTATTTTTATATTTATTTAATAGTTTTTTTTATAGATCATTGACTATTATCTTCATATAACAATTGATGTTATTAAATTAAAAATTAAAATTTTACATCTTGAAATGACTTTCAATATAGTCATTCAATTAGAATTTGAGCTTTCTGGCCAAGCCCGCAAACCTAGCCCCACTCGAACCAAACTTGTACATAAACTTTTAAGCTCAAGTCCAACCCGATTATATCATTTTACTAATAAATAATATTTTTTTTATCTAATTTGAATTTTTGAAATATATTAAAATATTAATATAAAATAATATTTTATTATTATAATAATGAAATAATAGTTGAATGGGTGGGTTAGGTCTAGTCCGAGCTTGGTTTTAAAAATGGGAAGTCCTATAAACTTGATCATTAACATCTGTCTAGATAAGTAATGATTTATTTTTTGTGAATTATGTATTTAAATAATAATTATAATACCAATCAATACTTTTTAATATATATTGCATTCCATAACTACCTTTTTAAAAAATATATATTACATTTCTATTACGTTTTGTACGAAAAATATATATAAATGAAAAATATGAATAAGTCTTCACTTATACCATCTTCAAATCAATTTTTAAGTGTTAACAATTTAAGTTTAAGAGGAAAAGGTTATACATAGTGTTCTTATTATGAATTTTATGTCATATATCAATGAATTATATGTTTATAATTTGACGAAAGGTGAATATAACAAAAGAAAAAGGACAAGTACGATCCAAGAAAAGAGTGAGAAATGTCTAGATTTTCTCATTCAAGCAAGGCTTAATAATGAGTAGCATATATACAGTTGATTAAATATAAAGTAAGAAAAAGAAAAGAATATAATTACATCTTAACTACCTGAATCGACTTTTAAAAACAATTATTTACAAATGGAATGACGCATTTAGCTTATTAAGTCTTTCTTTCTTGACTTTTATTTGTATGGTACATTTGTTTTGCTTCTTATTCTTGAGTCTGTTTCTTTCTTCTCCAACTTGATAGAACCTAGCTTTATTTATCTTCAATCCTTCTAATACTTCCTTTCAAGAGAAAATGTGATCATTGTGAACATTCATCATGCTCAATAGGTTGTGAAATTGTCTTGGTTGCAAAGCTTTGGTGAAAATGTCAACTAGCTGGACATTAGTGGAAATGTGTACTGGTTTTAATTATTTATGCCAACACCTTCTCTCGAACAAAGTGACAATCCATCTCTATATGCTTAGTCCTCTCATAGAAGATTGGATTTTTGCTGATATGGATTGCTGATACCAGAATAGAGTACTATTGCATATTTAAGACAAACTCTAAAATCTGATAATAAATTCTTTAACCATATAATCTCACAACATGTGGAAGTCATTAAACAATACTCTACTTTAGCTAAGCTTTTGGCTACCATTGACTGCTTCTTTGACTTTTAACTTATGAGTGAATCTTCAATGAAGATATTTAATCTAGTGATTGACCCCTAGAAATAAGGACAACTTGCCTAATCATTGTCATAATAAGCTGATAATTTCAAATTTGATTTAAACTTCATTATAATGCCTTAACCTGGTGCCCCAATTAAGTATTTTAATACTCTATTAGCAATTGAGAAATGTTAATGACAAGGTTTGTCCATGAATTAAGATAGTATTTGGACTACATAGGATATGTATAGTTTGCTAAAAGTAAGGTAAAGTAGTTTCCTAACTAATTGCCTATAAGTTGTGGGATTTACTAATTCATCTTCACTTTGAACCTTGTGCAGTTTCTGATTGTAGTCAATGAGAGTGGAAATTGGTTTTGCTCCTAGTAGTCCATGCTTTTCCAAGAGATCCAATGTGTATTTTCTCTGGCAAATGGAAATACCTTCAAGTGATTTATTAATCCATAGTCCCAAGAAGTATTTTACCACTCCAAGATCCTTTAATTTCAACTGTGAACTTAGGTAGTGTTTCTTATCCATTGTTTCTTAAGATGATGTGCTTCCAATCAGTATATCATCCACATAAAGTAGTAATGTAACAAAATTCCCATTACTTGTGTTCATAATGAAAAGAAAATGGTCTGCTAAAGATTGATGAAAGCCATATTGAAGAATTGATGAAGTAAATTTGGCATTCCACTATCTAGATGCTTGTTTGAGTCCATATAAGGATTTGTGTAGTTTGAAGATAACTTGGATCCTTTTGAATACTCCTTTTGGATGTTGTACCCTTGTGGCATCTCCATATAAACTTCCTTTTCTAGACCTCTATTTAAGAGTACATTATTCACATCAAGTTGTGATAATGACCAACTGCATGCTATAGCTAAGGCAAAAAAATACTCTGACAATTGTTTGCTTAACAATTAGATTAAAGGCTTCTTGGTAGTCAAACCCTGCAATTTGATTATAACCCTTGGCAACCAGTCTTGTTTTATATCGTTCAGTATCACCATTTTCATTCAACTTCACTTTGTACACCCACTTCCACCCTTATCACTTGAGAATTTACAAGCCAAGGTATTGTCCTCCGGGTACTATTATCTTGTAATGCTTTTAGCTCAACTACCATAGCATTTCTCCAAGGAGAATGGCTAGCTGCTTGGTGGTAAGTATTTGGTTCATTAGTTTTTGATAGTGAAATGGTAAATGCTTTGTGTGTAGGTGAGAGTGTACTAATTGATAAGTTCTTTGATATTGGATGTGTAATGACAAGGTTTGAATGTGAATGAAGGTATACATGATAGGCATCTAAATGCTTAAAAGTGTGTTTGATTCTAGTACTCTTCCTAATTGGTAAGTTGATATTTGTATCACTACTCAAAAATCATTGTCACTGTCATTTACATTAGGCTCTCTGTTGGTAGAAGTAAGCATACTAACTGTGATAGGTGAATTGGATGACAAATCATCTAAATTTGATGTATTTGATGTTACTGACCTTGAGATAGGTTAAGATGAAGTTGACTTAGCAGGGACTTGGTTTTGTGATAGAAAATTTTCAAGTTTGAGTAAAAAACATCAGAATACTTATTATGTAAACTAGGTGTTTGATGGAATGCATCTGTTTGCATACTCTGCTACATAGACTGAAATGGAAATATTCCTTCATGAAAAATAATGTTTCTAGATATTAAAACTCTTTGTGCACAAGGATCATATACATTGTAACCTTTCAAATCACTTAGATATCCTATGAAGATACATTTAGTAGATCTTTTATCTAATTTTTTGTCTATGCTAAGACAGTGTTGATACAAAACATGGGCATCTAAAAACTCTAAAGTGTTCATAATTAGGTGACTAATGAAATTACAAGTCGAAAGGAGATTTAATTTGAAGAACTTTAGTTGGGACTTTATTGATGATATGCATTGTAGTTAGCATTGCATCTCCCCAAAAATGTATAGGCCTATTAGACTAGTGTATAAGGGCTTTAGCAAAAGATAAGATATGTTGATGTTTGTCTTAACAATTTTATTCTATTGAGGCGTGTCCATAACAAAATAAATGATGGATTATTCTAGTATTATCAAAGTTATCAGTGAGCTTAAACTTTAAACCATTGTCTGATCTTACGCATTTGATTGAAAGATCAAACTATTTTTTAACATAGTTATTGAAAAAAGGAGTAATTATCAAAACATCTGACTTACTGCTCATAAGAAAAACCTAAGTAAAATGTGTGAAATCATCCAATTATAAGAAAATACCTTTGACCAAATAATGTGGGGGTCTCATATGGACCTCAAATATTAACATGAATAAGTTGAAAAGCGTAGGTAGAACTCCAAACATGAATTGGATATGGAAGCTTTTTCTATTTTAACAAAAGAACACTTCACAAACCAACTCATTTTAGCAATAAACATCCATAAATTGTTTATGTATGATGTTAATTCTCTCCAAAAGAGCATGCCCTAACCTAAAATGCCATAAGTCGAAACATTTGTACTTTGTTTTACAAGCATTGATTGTAGAACTAAAAGGAAACTCGACTAGTTTGTCAAAACAAAAACT